GAGAACTTTTAAGAATAAGAAAAAGTCGGGAGAAACTATTGTAATCGGGTTGGCGGGAGGAGGGTCGAAAATCGGGGGTCTCCCCTAAATCGAGAGTTGGCAACTTGAGTTAGGATGCAATCACCCCGCTCACATGAAGGCAAAAATATAGAAAGGCAAATCAAGGGTTAAATTCATCAAATCTAATGAGAATGCACTAGCGAGTAAAGCACTGTGGTTTTGCATAATTTCTAAGTAAGCTACCCATTCAGAGCTATTCGTACGAATTGAAATAATTCTTGCATTTAAACTTGCATTCCATAAGATTTAACTTGAAATTAATGTAGATAATTATTAAGAGAATTAGATGTTTGTAGCGTAGTTTACCTGAGATAAGATCACTTGGGTTCACCTGATAAAAAACCGTCGAATCAGGACGTTGAACGATGGAAGCATAGTAAATTCTTAAATTGGCTTTTACAAAATTTTAAATTATATTAAAATGTTTATGCCTTTAAAATAAAAAATTCTTAGAACTAACATTTGTTAACATTTTTTATGTGTATAAATGCTGTCACCAACAAAGTCTGCTTGGCGAGATTTGTGCCGGCAAAACAGAAAAGTACCAATTTTGCATCTGATAGCAGCTTACTCAGAAACACAATGAAATGTAAAACCAGAGTCTAATTTTTTTAAGATCCTACTTCAGACTTAAAAACATTTAAACAGAATTTTGAAATATTAAATAATAGGTAAATTTTATAATCAATAACAGTAAAATTAAATAATAGTTAAATTTACACTTGTACATGCCAGTGTAACTATTTATAATACAATGAACAAACACAAATGCCTAATTGCAAAGCTGACACCTAATATGCTAGTCATTTCATTCAAGAACTTTCACAAGGATTTTTTTTTAATTAATTGATATGAAAATATCCATTTTGATAAATAATACTTATGTAATTTCAATAGAAAACCCATGTATAAACTGGAATTTAAAAAAAAAAAAAAAAAAAAAAAAAAAAAAACCCTGAAACTGTGACGATGAGTTCAAAAATGTTGTCAAGCAAGTAAAGGAGGGGGGGGGAAATATCCGATCAAATTGCTGTAAAGTAAAATGCCAGTGATAACCCTGTATGAAATTAGCACATTTTTTGCATTGATGGGTTGTCTTCCATATGATCTCTGGTATCTGTGCCAGTCTTATTTTCTCTACCATTTTATTTTTGTCAGAAGAATGAGCAGAAAGAGAAGTTCTTATACATCAAATTTCAAACTACATATGATTATGTTTGCTGGAAATTTTAACAATTGTATGGTTTCATAACATTTCTCCAAACTAAAAAATAACTAAGAGAGTGGAGGAAAAAAAGTCTTAGGAGCAGAGATGCTAAAATCCATAAAGGTGTTGTGTATTTGTTTTCTTATTTTATTCACAAATAAGAAAATACGAGGCATTTTCAATATGCTATAAATATGCACACAAATTAAATTAAAAAATGCATCTTCCAACGATATGTTTAATTTCAAAACTCATGTTTATGTAACAGGAGAATCGCACTTTGTCAATTAAATTGATCTTTCACTTCGTAGCTAGAAGCATCACCAATGCTTTTTTTCAGCTAACAGGAATCATTCACTTTTCATTCAAATACTGATAATATGCAGTAACGCTAGGGTGAATGTCACGAAGTTTTTTTTTATAAACTATCTGTGAACATCATGTATGCATCCTAATTAGAAGATTTTGGACAATCTTAACCGCTTGCCTGATTATCCCAGGTTCGTATACTGCAATTAATTACTATCCCGATAAAACTCGGGCGAAGCAGAATTTGTCAGTACGATTTGTTTTAATACGGTTTTACTCGGCCTGGAGGAAATGAAAGGAAATATTCGGCTTTTATTGGCAGTTACCAAGTTCTGTTGGTTTCGCGGTTCTTTTGGCGGGACTAGTCACGTGTTTTCCCTATCATCTAGTATACGTCAGCTTGTGGATTAGTTACGTATAAAGAATGATAGTTGCGTTGAAAAAAGTAAAATAAAATAATGGCGATGATTATTTTATTTTAAATAGCAAAAGCGATGATTTTTCAGATAGTGATTATAACCTCAAGGCATTTTCCAGATGTTATTCCTGCTATTGAAAAAAAAAATCAAATCCAATGAGACAGTGCCTCTGTGCTCCCGTAAAATAGATTCCAGAGGTAAGCCAGTAAGAAAAGAGACCAGATTATCGGTGTATAGAATGTCAGGTATCACTGTGTGTTGTCCCTTGTTTCAAAAACTATAATACAACAACTAATATTAATTTTTTTTTATTTGCCCGAGATAACTCGGGATAGTAAACTAATATTAAAACTAAATGCTTTTACACCTGTAAAAAAAATTAAAAATTCAACTTAAAACCTATATATTTTGTTTTGTTTCATTGTATTTAATAACAAAATTTTTTTAAAAAATGTAATGATTTTTTGCAATTTTTTGAAAAAAATTTGTAAGGGAAGCGGTTAAAAAATGAGACAGAGTAATACTTCCACCCTTTATCAACTGGCATTCGAAATGGAACATTATTCATTTACAATATCTCTAAAATAACAGTTCCCAACCTTTTTGACTAGCAGAGGCCCTTTAAACTGTTTTACAACTTAATGATGCTAAGAATAGTATCAGGGGTAATCAATCAATCAATATATGCTAACCCCTCCTGCAAACTTAATGCAACTAGGGTGACACCCGAAATCAACCTCCGTATCAGGCGGGAGGGCCGGACATATCCGCTTAGACCTCTTAAAGAGATTAAAACTAGTACTCTTGCTACGCCGGGGTGCCTCAAATCCCTTCGCAGACGTTTAGAAAACTCTCTCAAATACTCCGGGGCTGAACCGGGCCGCCGGATGCTTACACACCACGGGTCTCGGAGACCACCCCGGAGGGAGGACCTCTACAGATCTTTGTCAATTTGGCGATCTGACCGGCCGTTGATGCGCACCTGCCAGTACTACACGGCTGCCCGTCACCGAAGGTCATTACCCGGAATACGCAGACTGACTACGCTACCAGATCCTCCGGTTCTGGGACTTCCGCAATCCCCCTTGGTCCGGCCGTATAAATGACCTTCCCTCAGGTTCTGGAACCGCCAAGCTCAAAATGCTTTTACCCCAGAGTACTCTGTCAGGATATAGGATACAGCCAGTTGCACCCCAGGGGGTAAGTATCAGGGGTAAGAAAAATGTACAGATAGATTACACTATTGTTGAAAAACATCATCAGGATCATTACAATTAATTTGGTTAGCACAAGCTCATAACAGGCAATTCAATTCAAATACATGTTTCCTAATTACTTATTATTTGAAATATTATTACTCACTGCAGCAGACATTAAAATTTAATTTTACTATTATGCAATTAAAGTCTTCAGTATAAGCCTAAATTAAGATACAACATAAAAAAATATTTCATGAGACACTTATTGGTTGTATAAATTTAGGTTAACTATTGGTAACTGCAGGTTACTCTGCATTGATGCTGATTTTCTGTAAATTGCTTTGGTACCTTTATAGGCACAATATAGCTTTACAGGGATGTGTAGTTAAGAAAGACAGAACTAATTTTTCTTGCTTAGATAAGATTTTGAATTTATCTTGTGTGCAGCCAAAACTCTGAGAGACTGGTTTTCAAACATGATTTTTTAATTTGCTGTGAAATGTCAAATTTATGGGGATATTATATTTTGTAAAGTGTAAGTTGTATGGTTTTTTTTTTTTTTTTTTTTTTTTTTTGTTTACAATGAAGAAAATTAAAATGAACCTTTCGAAATGCACCTGCATATTATTTTGTATTTTTTCTTTATGTTATTTTCTTCCAAGAAAATTTTTATACGAGGTTAGCAATCATTATCTTCCTTTTTCCAGCACTTTAGGCTAATATGTCACTTTAAACACCATATCTTCATCATTTAAGCAGGAGGAACTCATGGGGGCTTCTTGAGTCTGCTATTAAAAGGTTGCAGTCTTATATAATTTGTTACTTATCTCCAATTTTATACGGTTTATTATTTATCAACATTTTATTAGCTCTACAATTAACCTTACAAGGAAATCAAATGCACAGGAAACTTGTGGAAAAATTGTTAAGAAATCACAATATTATCGCTCTGAATATTCAGTGTGAAACAATTCCAAATCGACTAGCCATTGGAATTAATATGGGGCTAGGCTTTCAAAAAGCATCAAGCATATTTCAGAAATTTTCAAAGTATAAAAAAACTACTGGAATGTGCAATTCAAGGAATGGTCAAGCATCACCTGCTACAGGAGTCGCAAACTGAATTAATTTCCGTGTTCAGAAAGTAATTTCTAAATTTATTCTTTTTTTATTTATTTGATCACAAGGACCTCTGGGAAGTCCACATGGAGCACACAGTAGGAACTGCTGCTCTTGAGGATTAATTTTGTTACAATCAGATTGTTAAGATAAAAGATACCAGTAGGATATTCTAGAACTGAACAATTAGTCTTCTGCCAATCCGAGTTTTGAAAGTGATGAGTTTAATAAATGATAGTTTTTCTATTTATTAATAAATACTTTTCTTTTTGTGGGAATTTAAATGCAAGTGGCTGATTTTTTTTTGACAGAAAATTTATTAATACAACCCTTATGGCAATACTTCAACATTGATTTAATAAAGATAGGGTTATGAATCAAAGACAAAAGATCAACATCTTTTTCAAAATGCTATTAAAAAAACTTTATAAATAATTTTCTTTCACTAACAAGCAATATAATGAAACTGAAAATAAGTGAGAAATATAATCTTTCATCGATTAGCAACAGCATGTTTTCATGTTTATGATCTTTATTTGTGACAGCCAAGATATTTACTAATTTAAACCAATAACACCTCTCTTAAAAAGCTAGCAATTTACACTGTACATCGATATTGTGTATTTGTTCCCTCGACACATTAAATATATAACTGTTGATTATGCTCTTCATAAAATATAACACACATTGATAGCTAAAATTTATTTACACAATTATTATCATAACATATTATCAAGATAACTCTCCACAATTAGCAATTACTACTTTTTGTGTTGGTTTTCCAGTTTTAGTGCCACATTTCTGAAAAGAAATGCAACACATATAAAAATAAGTGAAAAATAAGACTAGATTTTTCAGACATTACAACTAATAAATATATTTAGATATAATTTTATTCATACCTCCATTCTTTTTACAACTTCCATGCCACTGATTACTTGTCCGAAAACTACATGAAATCCATCCAACCTTGAGAACAAAAAATAGCATAAAGTAATATTATAACTTTTGTAATTAGAAGTACACGAATTTTTAAAGCTGTTCAATTTGCTTAAATATATGAAAGGCAAAAAATTTTCTAATATGGAATAAATACAAAGTCCAATTGTTTGAAAATAATTTCATTTTAGAAAATGGTAGTTAAAATCTAAATTTTTATAAAAAAAACGTACAATACTTTCTAAACATGCATGAACAGACATATCTACAAGCATACATTGCAGATGCTTGATACAGAATAGTTATAATTAAAATTACACTATTTAGACCTAACTAGAGCCTATTTTGGTGGATCTATTTTGTTATACCACTGTGTTTGTATCAGAAGTTCTTTGTAGAATGGATCAACCAGGTCTTTGGTCCTGTTATTAAAAAAAAAAATATTTAGTGGAAAATAGCCTATGTCTATAAGCCCTTCTTATACTCAACAATGCTCCTGTGCATTCACTGAACCTTGAAGGTGACATATTTGATAAGTTACAGTGCATCAACGTCTTTCACCCAACAGTTGACCCATATCATCTAGCCTCAGGACAGCAGGACCTTTAAAAAGTTCTTGTTTTGCCACTGCTTTGATGTGATGGACAGAACTATTCACAAGTTCTGAAAAGATCAGGGTAACATTGCAATAAGTTTAAAATAGGATTAACAATGAATGACAGGTTGTTTCAAGGGGAGGCTTGAACTCTGCTTGGAAGAAGCTGTGGCAAAGAAGCTTTGAGTTTAGGCAAAGCAGCTTTGAAGCTTTGGGCAAAGAAGCTTTGCTTGGAAGCTTTGAGTTTGAAAGGAGAACAATTCAAACTCAAAGAAAGTGTTGGAGGAAATCGTCACAAAGACATGAGTCTGAAACTCAAGAACAGCATTGAATTTTGCTCGGAAGAAGCCGTGACCTCAGGTTGTATCTGAAAGGTAGTTTGAAGGATTCAAACTCAAAGGAAGTGCTGGAGGCAGTCAGAGAACTTGTTGAAGATCACTCAGACCGAGTTAAATGAACTACAGATTGAGAAGCATAAAAAGTTTTTGCGGGAGGAACAGAAAAATTGCAACATGTCATGCAGCAGGACTTTTTAGTGACATTTGTTCAATACATTTCAGAAACTTTATGAAACACTTTTTCTTTCTTTTTCCTTAGGCAAGTTTCTACTGAAATGCAGTTTAGATAAAAATTTGGTAAGGGAGAAAAAAGTACCAAAAACCAGAAAAGAATAATAATGCCAGCACAATGTACATAAATAGAACATCATAATTAAACTTTAAAAAACAGTTTATTTCTTTACATTTTCTTTAAAAGGTTTATATTATACTTTATAAAGTTTTTATTACTTTTTATACAATGCATTTTTTAAAACAAAACGAAAAAAAAAAAATTAGGTGGTTATTTCTTCAGTGAGGGGGTTAATGGTATTTAAATGGGAACATTTTTCAGGATATGAGTAGATCGGCTTATGAGGTCGGTTGTGGAATAAATTAAACTCGTATGCTGAGATATTGTTGCTTGTCAAAATTGTAATTGGAACTGTTTTTCAACAAAATACATTACATATTTTAACAAACCTTACTTTAATGATGTTAAAAAAGTGTACTATTCATTGAATCATGTAACATTACTTTCAGCTCAGTTTTGCTCTTAGTGTAAGGCATTATAAAAGTATTCTAATACTATGTAATTAAAGAAGTTAAATCATAAAAACATAATTTAACACTTTGTTCCATCTAATACATTTTTCAAAATCCTTATGTCATTAGATCAGGTTTCCATCACTGCTTAAACTCTATGATAATTACAAAAAGAATTTTAAAATTATTATAAAAGCTTGGAAAATGCTGTATGTGAAAATATGAAAATGCAATTGTGGCAGAAAAGCTGTGGTTTAAATTTTCTAAAGAATGAAAGTTTAAGAAGTTTCCGATCTAAAATTATAAAACAGTTACTTATTTGTTATCAAATGCCTACAATTAAGATTATGTAAGATTTAAAAAAAATCAGACATAAAATTTGATGTATTTTTATAAAACATCTTCACCAATTATGAAATCTCATTGACCATGAAAATTGGCAAAGATGCTGCCAAACTTAAAGCCAACCTGCTTTTTATTTTAGTTAATCAATAGATAAAATTTACAGATACAGCATATAAAAACTTAAATTGCTTATTATAATTTTTCACAATGCCTTGCATTTGTTTATTCAATTTCAAATAAAGTAACATATCGTGACCACTAATGCTATTTTTCTTGATGTCAGGATGTTGTAACTTTGAAAATTCTCCACTTCATGTCATTCTATAAAAGGTAGGTTTCCAATTAATTAATTTTTTTTTTTTTTTTTTTTTTTTTTTTCAAAATGCAAGGAAAGAACAGACAGCAATTAATTTAAGTCCTTCTTTACAAAAACTAAACTGGCTTATCAAGAATTAATCAGCTTTACGTAAAAGCAAGGTGAAGATCTCCTAACTGTTTGTGATGACATGCTTATCAATCAGTGATACTAAATCATACTATCTGGCAATAATTTTAGTTTGTTAAGAGTGCCTAGTTCCAAGGACAAATTTTTGGAACAATACGATAGACACAATGGTGTAGAGAGTTAAAAACATCTTCTGAAAGAGAGATGTGCAATTGTATTCCTATTTTAGATGTTATAAGGGAAATTCTGAGTAGTATGAAAAATATCCTTCAAACATACAAAAAATAATTACAAATCTCTCATTTGCATAACTTTTTGGAATAAAAATTCCAAAATATTCCAGTTGTCCAAAACTAACTATCCGAAACCCAACTACTATCCAGTATTCAACTAAGTTTAAAGCTCTGCGCTTAGTTAAATACTAAATTTTTTTGCTGCATTTTATTATTATAAAAGACTTTAAATATGTAGTTATTAATAATGTTATATGCTGAAATCATACAAAATTTTAAATAACATATTATGATCACTTCATTATTTTTTTTCCCCCTTCAGGAAAGTATTTTCGTTTCACAAAAATATTGAATAAGAATCAATTAAATACTTAAAATAGAAATGTAATACAAATGTATATAATATTTAAAACAATTTGAAACATTATATTTAATTTTGTTTGTTAGCATATAAATCTCTGGAAAACCTACCATTCTGTTTTTGCAGTAGTCAGAAAGAACTGAGAGCCATTAGTATTGGGACCTGAATTTGCCATAGAAAGTATTCCTGAAAAATGCAAATTTTCATCAATATTTAATTATTTGCGAAGTAGGTAACATTAACTAATAAGCAATTTATTGTGGAAACTATCTTGATATAACAGAAAGACTACACTACCCTCTCTAAAACATTTTTAATTTTCATTTCATCCATACCTTACCTGGGCCAGTATGCTTCAGTGTAAAATTTTCATCATCAAATTTTTTGCCATAAATTGATCTTCCCCCAGTTCCATTATGATTAGTGAAATCTCCACCTTGACACATCTTTATAAGTAGCTAAGGAATTATATACAATACTAACCGCTGAAAAATATGGAACCCACTTTTACTTCAAAGAAAAACAATAATTGGAAATACAGGAAAATTTTAAAAATACAAGATTTATAAAATCTTCATAATGACCAAAAATTCCTTTGTATGCATCAAAATTTTATCTGTTCATGTCAACATATGATTTACGAATAATTTCCAAGTAACAGAACTAAAAATTATTTAAAAACAGTTCTCAAAACTTAATTATGCAAAGTATTACAAAACAAAAAATGGTATTTGGTGATAAGCCAGTACTATATGGTAAGACAGTAACATTGTACGGAAAGAATCATTTTTACCTCCAGCGGGCGAGAAAAAAAAAGCCCCTCTGAGCATAATATAAAATCTGAAAGCTTTCAGATTTTTATTATTTATTTATTCAGAACAGACCAGCACAGAATCTTGCAGTTTAAGGATCTAATCAGGTGACTTTCACACAAATTCTTCATGTAAAATCTATTATAAACATAGGTGCCCTGTTCATACATTTAAAAAATTTCTTATTAATAAAAATATTTACTGAATTTATACTAGCTCATATTTGCATGGTAAAACAGTAAACTATATATACCTAACCCATTTACATGCTCAGAAACAAACTTAGGATGAACTGCAAGTGATCAACAGCTTAACTATTTGGCCACTGGCAGACTTTACAGATGATAAACAAAAAATATCTTGTTTTCAACTAAAACTATAATAATAAAAATTGGCTCCAAGAAAAGAACAAAACATATAATTTTCTATAAGTTAACATTAATTTTCTACATAGTACTACATAAAAAAAAAATAAAATAAAATAAAATAAAGAAATATCAGCTTATAAAATAAAGGATACAAATTGTGGTATTATTCGATGAAATGTGCTGCCTTTGTATCCAAAGCCTTTCTCATGTGTACACAAGCAACGGAAATTTTCTGAAAAAAAAAAAAAAAAAAATATTATGCAAAAATATTCAGCAAAACTTTTCCATCATTTATGTCTAAGTGAATTTCAATTTAACAATTACACTTTTAGTAATTTATATATACTTACAACAGCAATACATTATATACACTGACTACCAATAAGTGTTGGGACACCTATGCAAATGACGATATCTGCGGTCCTAAGGTACGTCACGGACTCCGCCGGTATATATTGTGTAGGAAACAACATCGGCTTTAGTCGCATGCAAGATGCCTCGCAGTTCGGAGCTCTATGATTTCGAGAAAGGTATAATTATCGGGTATCACAAATGTGGCCGATCCTTAAGAGACATATCTAGCAATCTGAAGTACCCAAAATCGACAGTGGTCTATGTGATTAAAAAGTGGAAGGTGAGCGGTGATTGTCGGAATGTGCCCCGAGTCGGCAGACCAACGAAACTGGGAGATAGAGACCGACGAGGCTGTCCTAAGAAATTCGGAAGAACCGCACCCAACCGATGGCCCTCAACCGCGAGGAGTTTCAACAGGCATCCGGGTGCATTGTTTCAATGAATACCATCCGTAAGGAAGCACACCTGCTTGGTTTCCATGGTCGTGCTGCTGCCCATAAGCCTTTGATCACAAAGTCAAACCACGCTGCTCGGTTAATGTGGTGCAAAGCACATCAAAATTGGACCGTAGATCAGTGGAAACGGGTTCTTTGGAGTGACTAATCAAGGTTCAGCCTTTACTGTTCGGATGGCAGGGTCTGGGTTTGGCGTCTACCTGGAGAACATCTCCTGCCAGAATGCATTGTGCCAACAGTCAAGTTCGGAGGAGGTGGAATTATGGTCTGGGGGTGTTTCTCCCTGGTATGGGCTGGGACCCTTGGTCCCCATTCATGGTCGGCTCAACTCCGATGCCTACTGCACTATTTTGGATGACAATGTGCTTCCTACTTTGTGGCAGTTTTACGGGTGGGACCCCTGTTACTTTCAGGACGACAATGCCAGTTGTCATGTTTCGACGTTAACCAAGGCTTGGTATGGTGCCAATGGAGTTCATCGAATGGACTGTCCTACCCAAAGTCTAGACCTGAACCCTATCAAGAACCTCTGGGACGAGTTGCATCACCGAATTCAGGGGTGCGCTACCCGTGCAAAATCGGTGAAGGAACTTCTATGTCTTCTCCAAGCCGAGGGGAAGAAAATACGACTAGCTGTCATACAAAGACTTGTGGAAAGTATGCCCCAGAGGGTCCACATAGTAATTACCTCTCGTGGAGGCTCTACCAACTATTGATTTTGAATAAAGTTAGTTTTTCTTTTCTATCACAGGTGTCCAAATACTTATTGGTAGTCAGTGTATTTACATATATACAACAGCAAAGCATTCAAAAGAAATACAGAAAATTTTATACAATTTATGTGTTAATCTAATAGCTTAGGACTCTTAAAAAAGGCAGCTCCATGATTTTATTCTTTTATATTAATTTGTGCTACATAAAACTTGAAGTTAGCCACTTTATTCATGACAGAAAGCATCTCTTGCACACATTACATATACAGTCAAATACCGAAAATCCGCCAACCTGAAATCCTCGTTGCCTCTCAAAATGTAAACACTCAGTTTATTGGTTCCGGAAACCGCAACATTGAGTACGAAATATCGAAAGAAAAATACTGACCGAATAAAGACGTCATAATTACCGAATAATAATGAGTCATAACAGAAATACCAAATTATTGACATTATGATAAAGTTTTTTCCTCTCTAATCTGCATCGAGGTAAAAAAGCAGACGCTTGACTCAACTCTTCTTTCAAGTTCACAATTCATGTTGTTGTATTTTATGAGCTTTGCTTTTTCACGAGATTATTTAGTGCTGCCTTTTTTTTATCCGGGTATTTTGTGGATAAATTAAGAATATTTTAAATTTCAGCCCTTTTTAATGCAATTACAGATAAGAAAAGCACTCATAATTTTACTGCTTGCAACATTGAAAAAAGTAATTGAAAAAAGTACGTTGCATTGACGGTAAAGCAAAAAGTGCAAATTCTGCAAAAGATGGAGACAGGTGCATTTTATCGCAGAATTGTATGGAATTGTGATACCATTGTGTATGATATACGGAAAAATACAGAAAAGCTGTTGAAATTTAACAGCAACAGTGATTCTAACACCGGAAATCTAAGCTAAGAGCTCTGTAGATGAAGAGTATATACACCAAGAAATTTTGCCTTTACAGTACAGCATACTGGGGTGCTACTTCCAGATATTGGTAGAATATTTATGTCTAGTAATGATAAAACAGTTTTTGATAATGATTGTGGTGAAATGTATATGTGGTTTTCTAAAGGAAAACTCAAATTATTAACAAAGTTATCTTGACTATAGAAAGTACAAAAGCAAGTGGAACTAAACTTGTAGGTGAAATTGGAAAATTAAACACAAAACTTGAGGAAACACATGATAATAAATTTATGCCTCAAAGAAAAAAAAAAAAAAAAAAATGTTACGACACTAGAAAATAATGAAACTATCAATATCAATACAATCCTACAACAGCATTTTATGACAACTATCTTTTTAGATTGGGCTATAAGAAATCAGTTTTGGTAGAACAGAAACTTTTATTTGGGTAAAAGCTTCTGCTCCACTAAAACTATGTTACATTAATGTAAATAAAACTATGTTAATCAAACCATGTTAAATTAATCAAATTAACATGGTTTGAAACTGTAGCTTCAGGTGAAAAAAAATAAACGAAACTGTCACCAGTTATACAATAAAGCATAAATTAAACATAGATAAACCTTTTAATGAAGTAATAATTGCAAAAGTTTTTTGGTCAGATAATTACGAAATTTGGAAAAAAAAAAGTTGTGAAGAAAAATGGGTCACATCAAATAAAAAACATTAAGTAGCTCAAGCTTCTTCAAACAAAGGAATATATTTTTAGCATACCAGGCACACCGGCAGTCGAAAGCACATCCTTGTTATTGAATATTGTAAGGCCGTAAGTTGCATTATTAAAAACTTCTTTTAACAACTTTTTGTTTTGTTTTGTAAACAACTACTTTATTTAGTGTTTCAAATCACAGGTACTTATGCAGTAAGATTAATTTTTTATTGTTTTTTTTTTTTTTTTTTTTTTTTTTTTTTTTTTTTTCAAATTTTCTTGGTCTGAACAGGAAATATTATGGTAAGCCTAGCAAATGTATTAAAAATCTATGCTAACAACTTCTATATCATAGTTTAGTTTATTGTGAGGAATAATTTTATACTTTTATGCTTGTCTTCATTTCAGCATAATGTCTTTTTCTCAACGAAAATTTAATATTCAAAACAGTGTTAATTTCTCCAACAGATTTCAATAAAAAATTAAAAAATCTTTCAGGGGGAGGAATTCAACTTATAAGCTTTGATATGTGTACTACAAAAAATAATCTCTTTGAAGCTGCTCTTAAACCTTGCAGCTAAAAATTTGTAGCATACACACAATGTGTCAAAATGACAAGTAGTGCTTCAGCTTAACAAAATTAATCAGATGACACATTGCTCCATGCATAACTTAAGTCCTATCATACTTTTACATCATTTATTCCATTTGCTTTAATGTAATTATCTAACATGTGCACAAGCCAAATGTGTGATGTGATATAATTATTATATATGAATCAGAAGTCTAAATAAAAAACTGAATTGGAAGTGATTCATTATATATGTATATACATATATCAGAAATTGAATTGGAAGTGATATGCAAAATAAAAAATCTTCACATACTTTACCAATAAATTCATACAAAGCCCCAGCTATCAAATTTATACTCTTAGAGATATATGGACTATTTATATCAGGCTACGGCAACTAATGACCTACAGGTCACTGGCTGACCTATTCCATAGTTTCAAGTTATAACATTTGATTTCCAAAAATAATGTCTAATTTATAAAAATAAGTTTTAAAACATAAATTCGAAATAATGACACTTGAGGAATACATAAAAGATAAAACAAAAACAGGAAGATTTTTATGAAAGATTAATTGTGACTGGATAGTATTTTTATTAAATTTTTGTAATGATTCAAAATAATCAAATATTAGCTTGAAAAGTCACTTGCAGACTCCTCATCACCTGTTTGATTCTTCAAGATCCAAGGATCACACTTTTAAGAGCTGCTGTAGAGTATCATTTGTTAATGCTTTGAAGACAAAAACCACCATTTCCAAGCTATATAAAATATAGGTATTATAATACTGGATGTTAGTATGGTATACAATAATTATAAATGCACATATTCCAACAGTCTCAAGTTGTGTTACATGAACCTATTGTTTCATGTTTAAAAAATAACCCAGTCAATTGGTTAATTATGATAAAATACCCAAAAGCAATTTGGGAAAAGATAGAACAGGACACTGTAGAGAAATGTGTACAGGAAATGAATTAAGTGGTAATTATTGTCATCTCTGTGATCACAGTTTAAAACAATTATTAGAAATGGAGACAGAACACTGAATGCAGTTTCTGCTGCTCTATGTAACTAGCATATAATCTATCAAAATGTATTCCTTTTGGATTTTCTGCTCACGTATTTTAAATTATGAGCTGATAATAATTTCTAATTTTACCTGCTGTAAGAGGAACAATATCTTTCCTCAACATTATTTGAATACGTCCAATTTCCTCTCCATCAATTGCAATATCTAAATATACTGTAGGGTTAGATTTCTGTCTTTTCTTTTCAGGCTCTTCATCCTGTAATGAAACAGTATAATATGCAAAAAAGGATACCTATAAATACAGTATAAACAAAATACTTTAAAATATATCTGGATAAATAATACGCGACAGGATCCAGTTGTAGGAGGGCTTAAGTTGTTATTTACAATAGCATACTTGCAACCTATGACATTCAAAAATCGGGAGAATTCCTTAAGAAATCACATTTTTCGCAAGGACAAAAAGATTTTTAAATGATAAAAATATACTTTTTAATAATGAATTAACTTTAAAGAATTACTGATTGATATCTGAAAAGTTCAGTTACTAATTCTTAAATCCAAACAGTGCAATTTGTATTAATACCTTTTTGTTCCTTTGGTTCCACAAAAAAAATTAATTTTTTTTTTTTTTTTTTCAATAGAACTTATGTTGTTCTTGTGTTTTTGTGTACACAAATATTTGAGAACATCGGCCTTTCTATCGCGCAAAATAAAAAAACCACAAATGTATTATATTTCCTTGAGGAAATAACATAAAGAAAGTCATCTGTATACAATTTTCAAAATGTATTAGTATTGTTACGAATTTGCTATTTAAAAAGCTAATGTTAGTTCAATTATAAATTAAATGGTTTTATTTCTCGCGCAGTGCAGCGCGTGACGAATATTAAAAGAAAGCTAAGCCGGAAAATTGAAAATACAAGAGCGCGTGCATTAAATAAATAAATATCTCTTTTTGATTTCGAGAAAGTACTGGAAAATTCTAGCGCGTGATTTTAAAATCTTATAAAAGGAGGAAAACATCTCAGTTTGTAGTAGTTGCTTAGTTTGTTGTTGTTTAGAAAACTGCTGTTGTTGATTGTAGCGAATTCGCGGATTAGCGTTCTTTAGCTGTTTTGAATTACGTTCTATTGGACATTTGAGTAGTTAAAAGATAACTACTGTGAGATATTGTAATACTGCATGATAATTTGAGAAAATTTAAGCATTTTTGTTGTGATAATAATAAATTTTTGTTCATTTTTCATCGGACTTGTGCATTCATTTCATAACGAATCCGTACGCACGCAACAATTTTTGGTGTCAGAAGTGGGATTTGAATGCCAATAACAAGAGCGATGGAAGAGCAGTTAAGGCAATTGATAACAGCCTTTGCCTCGTTTAAAGAAGAAATGAAAGAAGAGATGAAATCTAGCCAAGGAAAGATGGAAGGGGCCGTCAACTCCGTTAAGGAAGAAATGAAATTGGGCCAGGAATCTGTTAAGGACGAAATAAAAGCCGTTCAAGCTGGTCAAAAATTGAAGCAGGTCAAGAAGAAATGAAAAGAGAAATTACCTGCATAATAGAAAATAAATTTGAAGCTATGGAAGGCAGAATTGACACAGTTGAAAATAAAGTTGGACAAATTGAAGAAAAAGTTTCTTTTGTAAAAGATCAAATTGAAGAAAGAGTTTCTTCGGTGAAAGAAGAAATAGAAGAAAGAGTTTCTTCTGTAAAAGAACATATAGAAGGGAGAGTTTCTGCTGTGGAGGAACGAATTGAAGGAAGAGTTTGTGCCATCCAACACCAAATCGAACAACAAATTGATGAGAGAGTTTCTGCAGTTGCCAAAGAAATGGATACTTTAAAGAAATTCGTAGCGTCGGCAGGGAGCAGGAGTGATGATTTTAAATTCTTACCAATGCCTGCTCGTCCACCTCTGAAGCTATCCACATATGATGGGAAGACCTCCTGGCAGGTGTATAAGACACAATTTTCTATCGTGGCGGATGCGAATGGATGGGATTCCCAAGCTAAGGCCTGTCATCTCGCCGCTTCTCTAAGAGCCGACGCAGCGGATATCCTTCAGACTCTTCCCGAAAACAAAAGGTTAGATTTCGAAGCTCTGTCCGGCGCCTTGGAGTTGCGCTTTGGGGAGAAGTGTTTAAAAGACTACAGCAGGCTCCAATTAAAATCTCGTCAACAGAAGCCTACCGAAACACTTCAGGAGCTCGCCGCGGATGTTGAAAGGCTGTCCCATCTCGCCTTTTCGGAATGCCCGACAGAAACAAGGGAAATCCTGTCCTTGCAATACTTTATCGACGGCATCCGAGATACTGAAATACAGAAAGCTCTACGAATGGCGGATGTAAAAGATTTAAAAAGTGCTCTAGTGTACGCCATGAAATTTGAGGCAGCCCAGCAAGCCACTCGTCGAGACCGCCACCCAGTCAGAGCTGCTCAAGTCCAGGAGCCAGGGGATCAAGTCACCGCTCGACTTGACGATTTAACTAGACAACTGAACGCCTTGAGACGGAATATTGGTGAGAAGAAAACCGACCGTTAAGTGCTGGAACTGCGGTGCTGAAGGACACATACGACGAAACTGCAAAACACCCCAGGGTACTGGATGTTAAGACCGCTTCTAACAAGCAGCAGGGAAACTAATTAGTGGCCATCTCGCGGGGCGGAGGTTGCCAGATAATGAAAAGCCCCCGTTTAAAGCGCTTCAGATTTCTGCAGTGAGAGGCGGCAGTAATGGACTTTTCATAATAGGACATATTAATGGAGTTCCGTGCAATATGACTATAGATACAGGAGCCAACGTCACCATCATCCGAAAAGATTTGGCTCAACAACTAGGAAACAAACTTATCTGGACGCCGCCCTGCGTTACCCTCCAGACTGTGTCCGGTGAGAAGATCGACATCGACGGAAAAGTAAATGTTAACATCACGTTTGGAAGTGCCGCTTACCATCACACGGCATATGTAGCAGAGATCACTGATTCTTGCATACTCGGATTGGACTTTCTAAGGAAATACAATTTTTCCTTGGATTTTAAAAATAACGAATTGCATTCTACATCTGAGGACATAGCGTTATTTCTCGTTAATGATGAAGAAGTTAAATCTGTCCATAAAATCATAGCACAAGACTATCACAATACCGGCAAGAACAGAAATTTTACTTCCTGGATCCATAGCCGAAAATAGAAATTTTCCGCTACGGCATCATAGAATATCCCAATAACTGTAATATCCCAAAAGGAGTACTAGTAGCCTCAACACTCGTCGACCTATCCAGAACGGTTATCCCGGTGAGAGTCGCCAATGTAACTGAAAAGTCGAGAGTTATTAAGAAAGGTGAAGTGGTTGCAACATGTACTCCAGTAACCAGCGTTGAAAGAAAGAGTAACATCCCAGAATCCGTGTCCTCAGAGAGCATTACATCGGAGTTATTGCAGAATGCACAATTAAACGATAAAGAGAAAAATGCTGCCGATCGCGTCATTAAAGATCTTCAAGTTGTTTTCTCCCGCTCGTCTTCTGACGTGGGTCGAACTAGTTTGACACAACATAGAATAGATACTGGCGATCATCCCCGATCAAGCAACATCCAAGACGTCTACCGTTTGCTAAACAGGAAGAGGTGCGAACACTGTTAAAAGATATGGAAGAAGGCGATGTCATCGAGCCTTCAGCAAGTCCATAGGCATCTCCCATCGTTCTCGTCAGAAAGAAAGACGGCTCAACAAGATTTTGCGTTGACTATCGCCGGTTGAATGAGGTTACGAAGAAAGACAGTTACCCTCTTCCTAGAATTGACGACATTCTAGACACTCTTTCTGGAAGCAAGTGGTTCTCAACACTTGATTTAAAGAGTGGGTATTGGCAGGTAGAAATACCACCCTGATGACCGAGAAAAGACGGCATTTACTACGGGACAAGGGCTTTGGCAATTCAAGGTGATGCCGTTTGGACTGTGTAATGCGCCGGCAACATTCGAACGTCTTATGGAGACTGTTTTGAAAGGCCTTTCCTACGAAGCCTGTCTGATATACCTGGACGATATCATCATCGTCGGAAAGAGTTTTGAAGAGCATCTAGAAAATCTTAGAAAGGTGCTTCAGAAACTGAAAAAAGCCAAACAATCTGAAGCTGAGTCCCGCTAAATGCAAATTGTTTCCGAAAGGAAGTGACTTACCTGGGACATGTCATCTCTGCAGAAGGTGTGCGCACGGATCCTGAAAAGGTATCAGCGGTTAAATCCTGGACGCGTCCCGAAAATGTCCATCAGCTGAGAAGCTTCCTAGGGCTTTGCACCTACTATAGGAGATTCGTGAAGGACTTTTCTTCCATCGCAAGACCCCTTCACAAGCTGACAGAGAGCAAGCAAAGATTCTTGTGGACAAAAATGCGAGGATGCATTTAACAACTTAAAGGAAGCTTTAACATCTGCTCCAATCCTGACGTATCCTCAGCTCGACAGACCATTTATTCTCGACACCGGACGCGAGCAATGAAAGTGTCGGTGCTGGTTTTGTCCCAAGAAATAGACGGCCAAGAACGTGTAGTAGCGTTACTGGAGCAAGTGCCTGTCTAAACCGGAGAGGAATTACTGTGTCACCAAGGAAAGAGTTGCTCGCCATAGTCAAAGCTGTAGAACATTTCCATCATTATCTATACGGCAGAAAATTCCTCCTCCGCACGGACCATGCATCATTGGCCTGGCTTTTAAATTTCAAGAATCCTGAGGGTCAAATAGCCAGGTGGATACAGAGACTCCAAGAATATGACATCACTATCCGTCATCGTAAGGGATCATCACACGGAAACGCCGACGCCCTGTCTAGAAGACCTTGCCAAGAAAGCTGCCGATATTGTTCCAGGGTGGAAGCGAAATACGAGCTGCTGACTCCGGTCGCAAGACAAATTACAACATCAACATCGGCTGATCGAGACCCGTGGAGTGATGATGAAGTCAGGAAAGACCAGCTGGAAGACCGCGACATTAAACCCATACTTGATTTAATAATCATCAAACAGAAAACCTACATGGCAGGACATTTCTATCTGTAGTCCTACAACAAAACAATACTGGGCACTCTGGGATTCACTTCACATTCGAAACGGCGTCTTATACCGGAAATTCGAGTCGGATGATGGGAAGACGTTCCGATGGCAACTGATACTTCCAAGATCCCGGATTCCTGATGTCCTCAAAGAACTACATAACAGCCCTACAGGAGGTCACTTTGGAATTATGAAGACC